GCGAGCTCACTCATCGGTGTTTTCCGAGGGCAGCTCCAAGTTGACATTGTCTGCCAACTTTCCCTTTCAGCTAGTCACCTCGTACTACCCCTATTCCGTACCTCATCGAGAATTTCATTGATAGGTAGAAGGCCAACACCACCGCGCGAAGTGCATGCAAGATAGGCCAACCTAGGATGGCATTGTAGGGGGACAGAGTCGCGACCACCAGGAAGCTATGCTCGAAATGGATTGAATTTGGCTTTGAGATTGCTGCGATTAGCACTTTAATCCGGCCTAGAGGCTTCACCATGGCTCCGCTAAAGCCAATGAGTGGGATGTCAACTGGCTACAGATCCTTCCTCTCGAGTTGCATCTTTTCGAAGGTGTCCATAAAAAGGATGTCGACCGAGCTTCCAGAGCTAACCAGAATCTGATTTACCTCAAAGTCATTATTAATCATTTTAATGATGAGGGCGTCATCATGCGGATACTGGATCCCGCGAGTGTCATCCTCAGTGAAATATATGACTTCCTCCACACGAGGGCACTTCGGCAGGTTCTTGTCCTCATGCTCAAGCTCCCGAACTGAGTTCTTCACCGCCACACTAGTGCATCCTACCATGATAGAACCTCTAGTGATCATGTTGATCACTCCGTGAATGGGTCGCTCCAGTGGTGGTGGGTACCGAGGTGGTTGATCTTGGTCCTAGTTCTTCCTCAACTCTGGCACTTTTCTTGGTTGGTTAGTAGGTCGGCTCCGATCATCATGCTTGATGAACTACTTTAGGTAGCCATGATGGATCATCTCCTCGATTTTGACCTCCAAGTTACGGCAATTCTCTGTGTCATGGCCTATGTCGCGGTGGAAGTGGCAATATTTGTTTGGATTTCTTTTGGCGGAGTTGCCTCTCATCCTATGTGGCCACTAATACTCAACCATCTTAATGTGCATCAAAATCTCTCCCCTCTTTGCATTGAGGGCGATGTAACTTCTGTTCTGAACTGGAGGGGTTCTTGGCCACCCTAATGATCTAGAACTTCAATGGGGGGACCTGCTCCTTCTTCTAGGTGACCTGCTTCGCCTATTGCGGGATGACATGCTTCTCTTTGGAGACTTACTCTTGCGCCTCTATTTGTTGCTCCCTGTTTCTTCTTCTACTTGCTTCCTCTTCCCGCTCAGCTCTAAGCGAGATCTGAGTGCCTCCTCCACCTTGGTGAACTTGTCGGCCTGGTGGAGGAACTCCTCCATAGAACATGGCGGGCTCAACTCCACTTCCCAGCACAAGTCGGGGTGGCGAATGCCGTTGACCGCTGCGGTGAGCTGAATTGTTAGGTCAAGGTTTGGGATTTGGAGGCACTCAAGGTTGAATCTCTTAATGTAATCCCAGAGCGTCTCATCTGGTCACTCAACTACATTCAATAGGTAGGTTGCAAACTACAAACATATCTTTCTAGTGACAAAATGCGTCGTGAAGAGGTTTGCGAACTGGTTCCAACTTTTTATGGAGCTCACACCCAGTCCCGAGTACCACATCCGATTTGTACCCCAGAAAGTGGTCGGGAAGTTCATACACAGGTTCACATTATTCGCCTCGTGTAACTGCATCAAGGCCTTGAAGTTGTCTATGTGGTCAACTAGGTTTGTGGTTCTGTAAAAAGATTCTAGGCTCGAGGCTTTAAAGTCCTTAGGCCATGGGGCCGTAAGGATCTCAAGTGCTAAAGGGGAGGTATGGGTCACCTATTGTGCTGCTAGCTGGGCAATGACCTAACTCACCTCACCTTTTCTATCTGCCTCCTCATTGTTGGTGGGAACGAGGTGGCTTCTCCTAGTGTTGTGGCATGCATGTTGGCGACACCTTCTCCTCAACACCTCAGTCAAGCTATTCTCTTCGGTTCTAATAGGTTCAATGGCTTGGTTATGCTCTTCAACCAGGACCTAGTTCCAGTCGTCAGTGCAACAAGGTGGGTTCAAAACCTGGTCCTAGTGCTGGTTGTTGGGCTATTGATCATCGGGCTGTTGGTTCTACTACTATTGTTGTTGGGGTTTTAGTTGTTGTGGCTGTTGTTGCATTCCTACCAGGCTGGCAAATCTCTTCTCCCACGTCCTCATTTGCAGGTTCGTGCCATAGACGTACTGCACCAATTCGTTGAACTGGCGCACATCGATCCCAACAGGAACTACTGATGGCTTGACTGGAAGGAGAGGTGCGTTCACTTGGTACAAGGGGAAGGTTGGGTTTAGTATTACTAGAACACTTGGTAAGGCCAAGGGCACTGTGAATTGCCCGATGGCTACAAAGGGGACTTCCTGGATGTGCTGCAGGTTGGTCTTGTCCCCTTGTGACCTGGTTGTCGTTGTTGGAGGAGGATTGGTTGCTTGCGGAAGCCACTGAGATTTATAGAAGTAAGGAAGTAGAGCGAGAATATGACTTTTTGTTGCGGGATCCCACAGAGGGTGCCAATTAATGTAGCGCGATCTGGTAGCTCCCTACTGGAGGACAGCTCAGACGTCAGGCTAGTGATGTCGCCTAGTTGGGCTGCAAAACAAGGTTGTTAGAGTGTCTGGAGTGCTTTACCCGGTGTGGGCACTCCGATGCTTAAGTCAACAATGTGGAGATTGAGAGAGCAGGAGCTTAATTGTAAGGGAATTCAAAAATTAAACTACGCGTACCTTGTGAGGCTAGAGGTGAGGCCTTTATATAGGCAAGCTGCCCTGGGCCTCACGATTTATGCCCGAGATCGTCGGCCCGTCTAGTCCGGAGTGAGTTTTGCACCCGAAGATGGACTCCGAGTAAGCTGATAAGGCTTATCCAGGTCTGTCTGAATCGGGTGGGGAAAAGTTAAGATCCATTGACATATGTCATGATCCCAAGGAAATTAGAGACATCTGGCTTACTTCTGGAGGGAGACTATGTGGAACCTCGACAAATCGGTACATTCAATTGAACTAATCAAGACTCGGTCTAACCGGGTGACTCGAGGTGCCCAACGTGATTGAGATCGCTGAGGTGTCCGAAATCGCTAAAGTGTCATCACATCATTCCGTCACTCCACGCATCGTCACATCATTGAATTATCCCTTATCAAGTGAGATGAAAAGGATTTGCCTCAAAAACTACCTTACACGAGCCCATCTAAATGCACCAAAGTATGGTAAGACCTCTGCCGAAAAAAGAGAGTTCAGCATTGGATTCTTGTAAATCAATTTTATGCCAACAAGTTAGCCAATCTAGATCGAAAGAACGATGAAGAACATCAAGAGGCCAGAGTGAAAGATCACCGCCAAACCAAACTGTCTGCACCAGTGGTTAATATACATGCTCTAAGGTTTCCAACTCGGAATGACTTTTAAAGGCAAAAAGGGTAAATCTTGTCTAGTGCATGGTTGATTGGCAACACACCCTTCAAAGCACGCCATGCAAAATATTAAATTCTGGGTTGACAAGTCTAGATGCAGTCAACATGCCCTAGAGCGTGTTGGCCTGGAGAGGAAGTGGGGTTTGTAATAGGGCATCATCAGTGGTGGCTTCAAAGTGTTCTCTTACTACAGCTTCATTCTATATAGATGTATGCGGGTCAAACAAGAAAGCAATGTTCATACAGTTTCGAAGAGCAGCCGACTGACGGATCTCAACCTGCACCATGGAATCATTTTGAAAGAGCCATAGAAACAGAACAGAATAGTGGTAAATGTTTTTATTTTGAAAATAAACAAATATGAAAGGTAAAATAGTTTTTTTTTTTTTCAGGTTAATGTCGATTATGAATTGTTAGAAATCTTGGGATACTTTTAAGGTAATTTCTTTAAGACATTAAGGTTTGAGTAAGTTAATTTATTAAAACTTAGGAGTATTTTTAAGAAAATTTTCCTTTATTTTTCTTGTAACAGCGTAAAGCAAACAGAACTCTCACAAATGAGGGTAATTTAAGCATGTGTAATAAGGTTGTGGTTTTTCATCTACTTCCATGTCTAAATAATGACTATAAAAGAAATTTGAATAGTAAGATGAATGAACCGAAAAGCTATCAGTAATGAATGGACTAGAATTAGGGATAGAAAATAAACTAAGATGGTTTAATCACGTACAAAATAAACCATCAACGTTTATTACAATTGAATGAACTAGAATTAGGGATAGAAAAAATAAAAAAAACAGGGGTAATAGTGAAGGAAAGATTTAAACATCACTGATAGATTCATAAAGCAGGACTCAATGTAAGATTGGGAGAAGACAAAGATAAATGATGATGATGTAAAAGAAGATTGGCTATACCAACTAGGCAAGTACGTACCATCGGCATCATCAGCAATACTAGATAACATTAACAGCAGAACTTGTACAATTTAAAAGTAAGATTTTTCAACTCAATTTAACTCATTTAAACAAAGTCTTATGTCAAGTCTCAACTGTATAAAGATTGTGAATTGGATGATTAAACCAACATTATCAAAGCTCTAGATTAATTTAGCCAAGTCTTGCTAATTTTTCTGATATTGACTATTGATTTAAGCTAAGTGAGACCCATTTGTTGATAATGTGCTTCGGATCCTCTATAAAATGTGACACGTGACAAATATTGAAAGGATGATTCCTCAATGTCACATTGCATCTGCCATCATTGCAGGAGTGGTGTGAGAGCTACATTTGAATGGAACCTATTATTTTCTTCTGTCATCTTCACTGCTCCTTGTATTAACGTTTCGATGAGTTGAAGCCATCTGTGGATTCCAGTCATTTTTTAGCCAGACAACCTGTTCAGAGATAACACGTCTAACGCATGCAGAGAGAAGCCATAGCTCATAGGCCATAGCCGCCCATAAGGCGCTATGAGGCATTAAGTTTGCCTCTTGATGTCGATCAATCACAGAGTGGTGGGGGCTGCTGCGCATCAGGCAAGAACACACTTCTCCCATGTGATACCCAGCATCAATTATGAATTACCCCCACGAGTTAAAGATGGCCTCTCAGTCTCTCTCTCTCTTTCTCTTTTGCTTCTCCATGGCTCCACCTCCTCGGACCTTCTCTCTCCCTAGACATTCTTTTTAAATATAGTTCCTTCGCCTCTCCGACTCTTGTCTGTTACGCAAATTAACTCGAGATGGGTCCTCTTCAGGGACCTGGGTTCTTCTTAATCTCAATCCTTCTATTTGTTAGTTGCATCAAAATCATCGGCGGAAGCACTTCCTCCGACCTCTTTTACACGTACTTCGATGGCGGAGCCTATATTAGTTCTGAGGATTCGTTCCTCAAGAACAGAAGTTCATATCGGCGTTCACACATGCCGTCAACGTCGCCATCGTTGGAGGAGGAGGACTGTGGGGTTTGGGTCACGAAGTATTCGGAGGAGATCCTGGAGCTGGCGAAACGGCCGGAGACGGTGGAGTGGCTTAAGGGGTTGAGGAGGAGGATACATGAAAACCCAGAGTTAGCTTTCCAGGAGTACGAGACGAGTCGACTGGTTCGGAACGAGTTGGACCAGTTACAAATCAGTTACCGCTTTCCATTGGCGGGGACCGGCATCCGAGCTTCCGTTGGAACCGGTGGTCCTCCCTTCATTGCACTCAGGGCCGACATGGATGCTCTGCCTATTCAGGTTTTGTTTATCTTTCCGTAGTTCTGTTACAAGTTAGAACATATATGAAGCTGACATTTTTTTTTCAACTATTTGGCCGAAATTTCGTTTCGGATGAGAAGCCGAAGCGAAACTAGTTAGCCATTGTGTCGGAGTTTATGTTGAGACAGGGTAGGTGGAGTAGATAGTACGGTTGTCCTCGCTCTGAGTTAATATATTTGTTTCTCTGAATTTCTGGGCACTTTTTATTAGGTGAAATAAACAATAAAATCTGCAGGAAGAATGATATTGTAATATATTTATTTTACTTAAAAAGCTGTTAATTTTTAAAGAATTTCCGGTCGTTAAGTTAGTTATAAAATTTTGTGGTTTCTTGATTGAAAAGCTTACATGGTTTTCTATCAAAGAATGCGGAAAGGCGGAGATCTGGATTTGATTGTGATGAGGAACTTGTTGCAGGAAGCAGTGGAATGGGAACACAGAAGCAAAGTCCCAGGCAAAATGCACGCTTGTGGACACGACGCACACACGGCCATGCTTCTTGGTGCGGCCAAGATATTGAAGAGCCGTGAAAACAATCTCAAGGTCTGTCTGCAGCTTTTTTTTTTCCTCAGATTTTAGCCTCTCCCTGCTTCTACCCTTTCCATTGAACATGCTTCTGTAATTTTTTTTTGCTTCAGTTAATAGTTGTTTGGTCAATTGAAAAGAATAAACTGACATAGGTAGTGCAAGGTTAGTTTTCAGAACCTTTTCTTTTCTTCTTCATCAATTTGTTCAGAATGTTCATGTATCACACATTCTGAAAAAAATTACCTTGCATGGTTAAAAATGGCATCAGTGGCTTTTGGTTCACCGAAACTGCAGTAATTTGGATTTTGGTTCACTGAAACTGCAGTACATACAGTGGCCCCTTATGGTGGTTTGCTCTGCTAAAATGCTTGTTAGGGTTGTTTTTTCTTTGCAAGTGACAAATTTCTTTGGATGTGTTTTTCTTCCAAATACCTCTGCACAGATTTAATCTAAAAATGTGGTAATATGTTATCATTTGTCCATAAAAGGTAAGCCTGTCAGTTTTTCAAGTTTCCTGAAAATATTATTTTCAAGTCAACTCAACCCAATTATCCTACACATGAAAATTGAATCTGGCAATTTTTCAAGTTTCCTTTTTCATATCATCAGACATTTGTGGTGGTAGAACTATCCTTCCATGAAATCTCCACAACACTCTCTGATCTAATTGAGTTATTTTTAACTTCCTGGGTTACTTGTCTGAACAGGGCATGATTGTATGTTCTATCTTATGTCTATATTTTCCTATCTGATCTTATATTTTCTCAAATCCTAACCCACTTGCTTTCTTCTTGTAATAGGGAACTGTGATACTTATCTTTCAACCAGCAGAGGAAGCTGGTAACGGTGCCAAGAGGATGATGCAAGACGGAGCTCTGGAGGATGTAGAAGCCATTTTTGCTATTCATGTATCACATGAGCGTCCTACTGGAACTATTGGCTCAAGGCCTGGTCCTTTACTTGCTGGCTGTGGCTTCTTCAGAGCCGTAATAAGTGGGAGAAAAGGCGATGCTGGGAGTCCTCACCTCTCTGTGGACCCTGTTTTGGCTGCCTCAGCTGCAGTGATAAGCTTGCAAAACCTTGTGTCTCGTGAAGCAAATCCTCTGGACTCGCAGGTTTTTCTTCGTATTCCTCCGCTGTTTTTCTTTCTTTTTCTTTTTTTCTCTTTCCAATGAAATCTTCTGTAATGATAAAGGGAAAAAGCATGGAATAAGTCTTCTGTTATCATTTAAAAGGAAACTGGTAGTAGCCACATTCCTTATCTCTGTAGGCTTTTGTTGCAATAATAAAATCTTTGGCTGACAAGCATGAGGAATGCAGTTTTGAGTCTGAAAGTAGCCAGAATTATAAACAGATTTGCACATTGATGTACAGATCTGATTGTACATCTCCATTGTACAGATCTTCAGCATACAAGGGTCATTCTATCTTTTAATGACACACTTCTTAATACAGTACAATCCTTTGTTCTTTCAATAAAAAGTATTCCACAATGGCCCTTATTTTTTTCTGTAGGGTTCAAGATTGATGATTCTTTTTCTGGTGTAACACCTCATAGTTTGAATTATCAACCCTCATCTGGAGTAAATAAAAAATGAGAATTGGATTTAAACCCCTTTTAGGGCTAAAATGGTGTACTTGAAATTCTAAAATTTGTAAATGTGTGATGGTTGTAGAACTCTTTTTGACTGATTTCTGAAAATTGAGCATACTATGTATTAGTATGCAAGGCTTTAATTAATAAGACTTCCTAGATAATTCTTTCTTTTTAGGTAATATAATAGATATTATTTAATAAGAAGCATATACTTAAGATGGTAAATTTATGCTGGATATATGTTCATTATTGTTGATGGGCATTCCGAAACTGTTGTAATAGTCTTTCTCCTGCTGCAGGTAGTATCAGTGGCTTCATTTAATGGAGGTGATAATCTTGACCAGATTCCCCAATCAGTTACTATTGCTGGTACATTCAGAGCTTTTTCTAATGCAAGCTTCTACGGGCTCCTGAAAAGAGTAGAGGAGGTCTGTGATTGAATGGTTCTTACTTTGAAATAGAAGCAGCTGCTGTTTCATATTCTGTTGTGCAATGTGTTTTCATCACCTGATTAGCCCTCATTATCCCCTGTATCTGTTTAAACAGGTTATCGTAGAACAGGCTAGCGTCTACAGATGTTCGGCCACTGTTGATTTTTTCAAGAAGGAAACACAGATATACCCTCCAACAGTGAATGATGAGTACATGTATGAACATGTGAAGAAGGTGGCCATTGATTTGGTGGGTGCCAAGAATTTCATTGTGGTACCACCAATGATGGGTGCAGAGGACTTCTCCTTCTACTCAGAGATGGTCCCAGCAGCCTTCTTTTACATTGGTGTGAGGAATGAGACATTGGGTTCGACACACTCTGGCCACTCTCCTTATTTCATGATTGATGAAGAGGTTCTCCCCATTGGAGCTGCAGCTCATGTTGCAATTGCTGAAAGATATCTCAACGAGAATGGGTGAGACTGATAGTTGTTGTTCGATACTTCTGTTGGCAGGACAGACCGGAGAATAGGAGAACTACATCATCATTCAGAAAGTTCATTATCCTACCAGGTGTTTTTTTTTTTTTTTTTTTTGAAGCTTGTCCTCTGTAAGTTGTGACTGAGGATTTTGTGAGTAAATATTTTCCCCTGTAATGTGTTGAGGATAAGTTGAAGGTCTCCTACTTGCTAAAGAATCCTCTGTCATGAGGAAGTTAATATAAGTCGGCATTTGTGCTGTTGAGAGCATCAATTATATATTTCAGATTGAGTTTATTTCTATTCATAGAATGATTTGGGTTACTGGTTTGATTCTTACATCCAGCGCTACTGCTGCCATAGATGGAGTCAAATCTAATTGGATTTACAGATGGAATATGCCATAAATGGCTCCATTTTGCACTTTACGTATTTGTATTTGCACTCTTGGCAAATTGAGCCCTCAGTCTCTTTGCAGTGCAAATTTTACTAGTGCTCCACTTTGCTTCATACGAAGGGAATTGAGGTAGGAGGAAGTGCTCAGGATTAAGATAGCAATTTCGAGGTAAAGCTTTTTCATCCAGTTTTACAACACTGATTCAAGGATTACTATAAAACCGGAGGAAGGTTTTATTGTTTGTTAGAAATCTTATGGGAATTAAGGCTATGTTTGGTTTGAAGGAAAAAGTAGGGAAAGGAAGGAAAAGTAAGAAAACCTTAATAAACCTTGTATAAGTTTTGATACCTTTCCCTTCCTTTCCCTACCTTTTCCTTCAAACCAAACATAGCCTAGTGGTTTAGGCTCAGTTTGGAAGGAATAGTTTTGCTTTTGCACTCTACAATTTGTATTTGTACTCTTTCCAAACTGAGCCTTAACAATTTTTTTTTCCGAATTCGAAAAGCCCATTAAATCACATCACTGGTTCAACTATTTGATCCAAGACAAATCGGATAACACTGTTGCACAAAAGAACCGATTCAATACCATAAAGGGACTGCATGATTCGATTGTCCTTTAATCATGGAATCAGAAGGATGGCATCTTTTGTGACTGAGCCATATAATGGCTGCAAGTATAACTCAATCCATTATGCGTCTAATATGCGGTTTATTTGATTTGAATCCTGCGAAAACCATTTGGACCAATGGACGATATTTTTCTCGGCCCATAAAGAGAAGATAGGATTGCAACGAAGTTATTTCAACCCATTTATGCTTTGGGATGAATACTAGAAGCAGAACTCTGATGAAAAAAGGAAAAGACAAGTAATAGTTGGACCGGGTCCCTAGGACGGCAGTCTTTGTATTCTAGACCGGCGTCCATGACTTAGGGTGATGCAACTAAAGAAGGCGGCCACTGAACCATCGGTTCATATCTATGCTGGTAGTTTAAAAGGCTAAGCCAGCGGTTTAGCAAGCACCGGCTTAGCCGGTTTTTCTTGTAGTGGAAACACTTATTCGGATAAGTGCATTTACCCATGTTCTTTTATTTCTCATGTAAATAAGGCAATGATCATTTTAGCCATAAAAATCCATTATTAAAAAGGGTATTTTTGTCCCATTCAAGTGTTGGCAACTTTTCTCCTAGGTGGGAAAGTTATTTATCCACCTAGGAGATAGATATCACTTACCCAAGAAAATAAACTTTCCCTGGTCCCCACATAAATATGAAAAAAGAACATGGGATTTTTGGTCAATGGGAACCAAAGTCCCATTTTCCATTCACCAACTTTCCCCCTCTCAAAATCCGAAAAAAGAACACCCCCTAATAGTTAGAATTTGAAATCTAATATATATATATTAAATGAAGGCTTTCAGGCTATAGCCTCCATCATTTAGACACGTGACTTTCCAAATTTAGACACATGGCATTTTCTGAGAAGTTGCTATTAAAGCCCATAACCTACTACTACCATTCAGGCAAGTAGATTTCCCATTTTCTAGAAAACTAGACATGTGGCAATTTCTAATTCATGTTAAATCCCACAACCCACTATCAGGCTACAACTGCCCTCCATTCAAACACATGGCCTTCTCATTTTTTTTTGAAAAGCTAGACACATGGCATTTTCTAAGAAGTTGTTAAAACCTACAACCCACTACCACCATTTTCAATCCATTCCTAAAAAAATGTAGAAAATGCAGAAGTGGTTATCCACAACCACTTCTACCTACATTCTATCAATCTCAGTTAACCATTAACCCTCTACGTATCCTAACAAAAGAAAACTATCCATATGCTAATAATTGTTGAAAAGCTATTTTTTGAAATTTTAATAATTATTTAAAATATTAATAAATATAAATTTTAACATTATTGATTCCATAATGTAAATTTAACATTACTGATTCCCCATACTTATTGGGTGATTCACTAGTTTTGAATAATGGGAAGTTCAAAAGATGCATGATTTGGGATCTCTCTGTATCTTATTTGATCCTTACATTTTTAGTAATGGAGGTCATCCAATATCCATAGAGGACTCAAAATTGATCTAATTAAGCACGTTTTCTTTTGGTTCATAACAAAAGAAAAAGTCAATTTTGCCCATTTTGTCCTTTTGTGCCTGATCATCTTCAAGCTTTGGGCTGTTGTAATAAAAAACTAGTAGGGACCCATGCGATGCTTGGGATTTGTTAAGGAAAGTTAAACAATAAAACAACTAAAAGTATACAATTGTTTTATATTTCTAATTTTTTAAACAATTAATAATTATTTATATTTTAAAATACATATAACAAATTTTTACAATATAAAAATAGCAATAATTTATTTCAGCTATGATTGTTCATCAAATTTGTGAAACCAACCAAACCAACCAACTCAACCCAAATAGGTCGGTTTTCTAGTATTTTCGATTGGCTTTTATAGGAAAGTGGGGAAATTCCCATATTTCTTACTCTAAAATATTTTATATCATAAAATATTAATTAAAAACATAAAAAAAAACAATTCCAATAGATTTAACAATATTCATATTATTAATAATTTTATATTTTTACAAAATTCATCACAAAATTATGTACTCACAATATAAATTATTGTTTTCCTGATTATTCAATTTAAATGTTATTCAAATAATAAAAATTTAACAATAAAAAAATAAAATGTTATTTAAATATTTCAATAACTAAATATCTTAAATAACAAAATATTAAAAATAGCTAAATAATTATATAAAAAATATTTAGTATTATGTAATAGCATAAAAATAAATAAAATTCAAATAACAAAAAATTTTAAATATTTTACATATTATTTAAATATTTAAATAACTAAATATTTTAAATAATTAACAAAATGTTTGATATAATTAGATTTTAACATAAATTTAAACAATTTCCTAAAAGTAGCAAAATAATTATAACATCATATTGAAATTAAAAACAATTTAATATTTTACAAAATTAATAATGAAATTATGTAATAATAGTATAAATTATAATTTTATGGATTATCAAATTCCATAAATAACTAATATTTTAAAATTTAAATAATGTTATTATTTAAATAACTAAGTAATATTGTAAATAACTAATTTCACTTATATCCATTAACAATTCTAGAAAATAAATTTCAAAAAATTAATATTTATTAATAATAATTTTATACTCTTAATCTATATTTATTATTGTATATCTCAAACTTAATTTTTATTGTATTTCAGTAATTATTTATTGTTTTTTGTTATAATTTATTGATTAATATTTATTAGAGATTAAACTATTATTTGAGATTATATTATTTATTGAGTAATTTAATATAATTTTTAGTATTTATTGTATTTTTGTAATTATTTTATTTATTGTATTTTCATTAGTTATTTATTGTACTTTCAATTATCAATATATTTTCAATAATTGTGTATTTTTGCAATAAATTTTCAATAACTATTGGAGATTAGACTATTAACTTAGATAAAATTCGGAGTGTTCATAGGTTGGTTCAATTCAGTTGTAGATTGTTTGGCCAACCAAATAGACTTGGTCAGGTTGGAGAGTTGGTCACCCGAAAGGGACTAACCATTTGTGAAAATTGGCCATTCGGGTTGTACTAGTTTGTGTCGATTTTTGGACTGGTCAATCGGTTCAAAAGTATCTATAGTCAAGTCATTTGATTTTGGTCAGTTTACAAATAGTCAAAGCAAAACTGATCCAACTTGGTTAGGTTGGCAAATTACTGAACCAAAGCCAACCGAAAATGCTAGAAAAATAACCAACTCAGGTCGAATTGATTGGGTTGGTTTGTTTCATCAGTTTGATGAATAACCCTATCTAAAATTAATTATTGATATTTTTGTATTGTAAAAAAATTATTGAGGCTCTGTTTGAGAACACTTTTAATAAGTACTTTGATAGCTATAAATATAACCCTAGCAAGTGTACTAGTTATCAAGTAGTATAAAATATCGTTCCCACGGGGATTTAACAAAATAAATATTAGAACTACAATCTTCCCTAATTATCTGGACAACCGAAATTCAGAATTGAGCAAGAACTATTGAAAATAAAAATTAGCATAACAAAAAAAAAGCGAAGGTGATCACTAATCGAATCTGAAATGGATGGAATCGCTAGGGCTTTTGGTCCACCTAACCAATGCAATGAATATTGATGGGTTCGATTAACCAAGATTATTTGTCATTYCCATAARYTGAGGTMTTTCCAATTTTATTTAATATTCTCTCTCGAGATATACTAAACCTACACCCATCAGGTAGCCCTTCGATCTCTCGAGTAGAACTCTCAAGATGGGAGTGCATTANATTAAGAGGTGGCAAAGCTCTTAATTGCATTAAGCACAATAATTCATAGACTATATGAAAATCACAATCTTGGATAAATCATAAAGATAAAAATATATTCATTAACATAATTAGGCTTTCCTCAGCCCTAGCAAGAAACAAATCAGTTCATGATAGAAGAATTAAAGCAAACAAAGGGAAAGATAAAACTCTTGTTATCGCCCATGATGCTGAGATCTCCTCCTCTTGTCGCCACCTTCTTCTTGAATTCTTGCTCCTTTCTTGACTGATTGCTCCTTGCTTCTTGATTCAATCCCCAAGATTGAGTGATTGTGTGATGCCTAAAGCTGGTCCGCCCCCTCCTTTATATAGCTTAAAGGGGAGGGGGTGGTCTCCTACTTCCTCTTGAAGTTGATCTTTATAAAAATAGAAAGTCCTATCCTAATTCTAATCTTATCTTTTTATCTAATGAACTCAATCCTCTTATCTCTCTAAGATTACATCAAGAATTTAGA